CCCTCAGCCTGCGCGGAAGGGCCGCCTTGGGCCTGCCGGGGGCTCAGCCAGGGAGAGCCTGGAGCTGAAGGACATCTTCATTGCCGTGAAGACCACGAGAAAGTACCACAAGAGCCGGCTGGACTTGCTCCTCCAAACCTGGATCTCCCAGGCGAGGGGACAGGTGAGGCATCGCTAGCAGGTGGGGATGGTCGGCCAGGAGCCTTGTCCCTCTCTTTTCCTGGGCAGCTGCTGCACTTTCTCACCGAGTTTTTCTTTGTGTACGTTGAAAACCTCTTTCCTTGTAAGATCAGGGAAGGTCTGTCTAAACATACCTCCAAAAGAGTTCGTTGTTGATTAAGCTAGTTACTTGCAATCTGAGATCAGTGGTCCAAGCAGAAGCAGTTTGCTGACTTTTGTGTGACTCTGCAGAATACTACATGATGGTAGAAGATCTCTAGTGGTGATGTATCTAAGCTGTTATTTTGGACTAAGTAGTTCAGCGACTTAAGTTTTTCCATAGAACAACGTAGAATTTGTTCCCTTGTTTGGGAATTCCAGTACATTCAAGCATATTAATGCAATTTTGTCTAGCAGCTGGGACAAGTGTTACCACCCGGCACTTGCTACCCTCACTTTCCTTCTTTCCTTGTAGCTTGCTTAACAGCTGTGGATAACTCCTAGCCAGAATGAGGAGGTGAAGTTGCAGAGGAGGGTACTACCAAAAAAAGGTGGTCATTCCTATCTGGAAATTGGTTGTCTGTACCCTGAGATGAGAGCAAAATCTTGGATGCTTTACTGAAATGAGACAATTCTGGCTTGCAATGCAAAAAAGTTACCAAATAAGGCAAGGGCTGAAGTACTGGGGTTCTCTCCACCACTGTTCCCCACTCCATTCCCAATGGCTACTGTGAAATAAACTTGAAAATAAACCATTAAGAATTCTGACTGCAACTGAGCAAAGTTGAAATTACTTTCTGAAATTCTTGAATGAAAAGCACTGCTTTCTCCCAACCCATTTTTGTCTCCCACAGACGTTTATATTCACAGACTGGGAGGATCAGGAGCTACGCCTGAAAGCAGGTAAGCTGTGTAGCATAGGTGCATAACGTGTGTTATAACTGAACTTTGTTTCTGGGATACTTTCCCTAGAAGTCCTTATTTCCTGCTTTGCAAGCAATTAGGTAAGTTAAGATGGAGACAATGGAGAAAACGTCTCCTTTCACAGGAGAATATGCTGTTCCTACTTACCACCTGGACAAGATGCCTGGAACTTCCTGAATACTGGGTTCACCTTTGCACCCACTTCCTTCCTGTTAGTAAGCTTAAGTCTATCTGGTCCAAAGTTATATTAGATACTTCTTTTGCATACGGTCTCATGGCCCTATTTATATACCCTGCACTCACACATTTTTATGTACTCTACAGCTTGCATGCCATACACATAACCCATAAGCCCTGCCTGTCCTGCAGTTTACTCTCCGTGTAAGTGCACCATATGCACTTCAGATGTATAGTATTAGTGCCAAATGTGCACTTCTTTTGTAGTCTTTTGGACTACATATGCTTCTCAAACCTGAAAGGGCTGATCTTTATTTTTCTAGGGGATCATATGATCAACACCAACTGTTCTGCTGTCCATACCCGGCAAGCTCTCTGCTGCAAGATGTCTGTGGAATATGATAAATTCCTGGAATCTGGGCAAAAGTACGTGAAACACATCATTCTGATTGACTTTGTTTCTTCCAGTAACCTTCTCTACTCCAGTAAGGACTGCAGTATTAGCTAAAACATGGTGATGAGCATAGAGAAGGGGGCACAGCATGAAGCAGTGTTTATAAACAAGTATCATCTGAAAGGTGGAAAGGATGATAATCTAAAGGGGGTTATTAATTTCAGCCTCTTTCCAGAATTAGGATCTGTGGGTGCTCTCAGCTTCCAAATTCTGTAATTCAGGACAATGGGAAATGCTTTCTGCTCCAAGCCTGAAAGACTAAGACTCTGCTTTAAACCTGTAACTCATTTCTTTGTCACTGCTCTGCAGTAGCTTTTTTATTTTGTTTTGTTTGAAGATGGTTTTGCCATGTGGATGATGACAACTATGTGAACCCTCGAACTCTCCTGCGTCTCTTATCCGCCTTCTCACACAGCCAGGATGTCTATGTGGGGCGACCAAGTCTGGACCATCCCATTGAAGCAGCTGACCATGTCCAAAGTGATGGATCAGTAAGCAAACTTTGTAGTTAGTCTCAGAGACATCCTGATCTTTTAAGCTTCTAAAACCTTGAGAGTTCATAGGATTCCACCATAAAAACAAGCAATTTAATCTGTAAGCAATGAACCTGGCACTGGTCATTTTCAGAGACAGGGTGGTGGGTTAAATGAACCTTCAATCTGACCTCATATGCCTTATGTACAGTAGCGTTTGTCTCCGGGGTGGATGTCTGTTTCTCTTCCTTTACTCACATATGTTGGTGATCTCCGTCACACTGAGGTGAGTAGGACCTCCCCATCTTGACTCTTTCTTTTCTTTTAGTGGTTTTACGGGCACTATTTCTTGTTTTAGGGGGTTGGGTTTGTTTGTTTGTTTATTTTGAGAGCAGTATCACGTTGTCTTCATCTTGAATCAACCTCAGATGGGTGGCAAAGGCTTTTTGGGTGTCTAAGGCATTTCCAATACCAAGTGGGTGCTAGGTTTCCAAGAAGTGGAAGCAAACATATCTCAGTCACAAGATACATGTGCTAAAGGACAAGTCCTCCCCAGCTCGCCTATACTGACAGGGCTAAAGATAAATCAATCCACTGGCCAGAAAGCCAGTTACAAAGCAGCGTGTTAGGGAAGACTGCACAACAAAATAGTGTGCTTGGGACATGGAGCCAAGTGACTAATGGACCATCTTTGATTTCCTTGGGAACACTGAGCTGGCTGTGACCCTTGGCTAGAATGACCAGGGGACGGATGGAATTGGGTAGGAGCGGGACTATAGTTTCCCATTTCATGTGGGCTACCTCAGTTGTGCTAACTTGATGGTTCACCTGCTGTCAGTTCCAGGATGGAGTTTCATTTGAGAGAAAAGCTAGCTGGTGTTTCAGCAACCTAAAGAAATAGCAATTAATAGGTAGTCTTGTTCTGACTCAAGTGCAGTGTGTGATATCCAATAGAACCTCAAGTTCCCTTCCCTGGCCAGCCAAATCAAAAAAGCTGATTATCAGTAACTGCTGTGTGTTTTTCTTGTTGCTCTTCAGAAGACAACCGTGAAATTCTGGTTTGCAACAGGTGGAGCAGGGTTCTGTATCAGCAGAGGTCTTGCCCTGAAGATGAGTCCCTGGGCCAGGTAAACCCTGTTTCTAGCTGAGCCCCATCAATATGTGTTTGGTAGGCTTTAAAGCATATTTCATCTTGTCTCATATGCTCTGTCTCGCAGCCTGGGTAATTTCATCAGTACTGCAGAAAGAGTGCGTCTTCCTGATGACTGCACTATTGGCTACATCATTGAAGGGCTGCTGGAGGTAAAGCTGCTGCACAGCCCATTGTTCCATTCCCATCTGGAAAATTTGCAGAGACTACAAGGCGAGTCTGTGCTGCAGCAGGTAGGGCTAAGCTTCGTGTCCTGTTCCTGCAATTGCACCTCAATCAGATAAGAAAGAATAGTCTCCATAGACTTAAGCACTTTTCAGCAAAGGACAGTGTCTACAGACTTCCTCAGAGCTGTGTTCTGTCCAATCCCTTCATTTAGCTAAAAGGCCTATTTTTACCCTAGCCAATTAGGTCATATAGCTGTCCTCTTCTTTGGGGGCACATTCTGCTACGTTAAGCCTAAATGTGGTGTTCTTCATCTCCTTCTAAACTCTGACTTTCCATGAGTCACAGTAGCAGCAAGTGTAGAAGGAGGCAATATTTAGTTTGCCTGCCATGTAAGAAAGTATTTCTGTCTTTGCCTAACAAAGTCTCAGTCTCAATTCATGCTGTTCAAAAAGACAAGTGTCGCAGCTATAGCAAGCACCTCTTCAGTAACTGAGACATAGTTAAATGTTTGATCATTTTTAAGAATAAATTGTCTGAATCTCCAGAAATGTTAAGTTTGTTAGAAAATATCAAGTAATTTTTTAATTGCTGGGATACTTCTTTACTCACGAGCAGTAGATGGAGCTGTAAGACTATCCGGAAGCTTTGTCTGGCTCCTGCTGTTCGGCATCATGAAAAAATGAGTGCAGTTTTGCCCCCGCAAACTGCTTGGTTATATTTTCCTGGCAATTGTTCTAGGCAGCATAAATACACACTCGGGGCCAAATTCCAGTGTGGTATGATCTCCTTCATGTTAGTGAATTTAACTGCAGGTGGAATACAGCCTTTTGTTGGTCAGCATTGTTTCCCTGAGACTGTAACAGCTAACCCAAAATCCATAAAATCTACAACTAGGAAGAAAATAGAAGTTGTCTTGTACCTGGCATCTGAAAGTTTCTTAATACAGTGCTTGTGTGGAAGAAAAGCACTGAATTGGCATTCCAGAGGTCTAAATTTTGCTGCCAGGTTTGTCACATGGCAGTCCTTTTGCATGCCATTTAACATCCAAATGTTTCTATTTTACCTCTGTGCTAAGACACTACTATTGCAGCCTTCAGGCCGTGTCTGGTGAGGATGAACATACGTTGTTTAGTGAAGGTACAGGTATTGGCAGGATTAATGCCCTTACAAAGCTTACAGTTGTAACTCATCTTGTCCTTCAGGGCAATGCAATTTTCAGCTCCTATGTTTATTCTCCCACATTGCCTTTAGATGAGCAGTGGTCCATTCGATAGCTACCAGACACTGGCAATATTGCATATGTCAAAACTAACCACTGTTTTTTTGAGAAGCATGAGAAGTCCAGCACGAGAAGCTGGACTGTCCTTGACTACTTAGCAACAACTCAAAACATCAGCACCTTATCAACATTTTCTCATCCCAAATCCAAAACATACCCTCACACTAGCTTCTGTAAAGAAAACCAGCTCTGTCCTGGCTGAAACCAGGACAAAATGTAATCCACTGTTCAGATCAGACAGGATCCTTGAGTCTTTCTTCATACCTCATTAATAATCCTGCTATCTGCACTCTGTTTTTCTGCATTAGTGTTACAATTTCCAAATATTTATTTGCTTTTACAGGTAACCCTAAGTTATGGGGACCCTGAGAACAAACACAATGTTGTGAGCGTGGGAGGAGTGTTTGGCCTTCAGCAAGATCCAACCCGGTGAGTGTCTGCTCCCAAAACAAGAGCTCCCTGCCTTGTTCATCAACTGTAAGATGATCAAACCCACTAATGGGGTTATTTTCTCATGTCAGGCCTTGTCACTGTGCCAAAGGCAGGTAGACCCAACCTCTCTGCTCTATTAGACTACTGTACTTTCAGTGCTAGTATGTTCCTTGGATGGGGAATTCTAAACTAATTTTTTTTTTCTTCATAGATTTAAATCTGTTCATTGTCTGCTCTATCCTGACACTATTTGGTGCCCTGCTAAGAAGATGTCATAATTCTTGACCAGTCATTGACACCTGTATCTTGTCTAGTTTGCATAAGACAGGAATTGTGGTGGACTTTTTTGATTGTTTCATTTTGGTGGGGGTTTTTTTCTTCTTCTGGGAGACAGCCAGAGGTATCTACAAAGGAGGTAGACAGACTCTACTTAACAAAAGCAAGGAGGTGTGGTTTGTTCAGCTGCAGCCTGGGACATTCCAAGAAGAATCCTTATTCTTTTGTCCAGCAGGTCTTTGTATAATGACGACAGTCATATGTGTACAAGTCACTTTACACTTTATGCGTCTGATGTCATGTGAATTTGTGCTTGGACACATCCTAGGCAAATGCAGTACTTGGAATGATAGCATTCTTACTACTGTTAGGGGCTTTTATAGGCCATTGTCTTGAAGCTGGAGTGCTATAGCAAACTGTAGTCCCCATGGTGACAAGAGAGGGGAAGTTTTCACTGATCTTTCTTGGGAACAGATTTATTTAAGAGCTTCTATGGCCTGCCATATTAAAACTCCACCTGTGGGCCAGAATAGGGTCTGTTCGTAAACACCAGAAATCCTGGAATCACTAGGGTAAACAAGGCTGAAAGCCTTTGTCGTGGGAAAACCATGTGTAAGGGTACGCTTACTCAGGACTGAGTAAGAGTTGCTTACAGTGCATGTTCTCCCCTGTAGTCCATGTGTACCTCCCATGGAGGTGATTGTCAGACTTGGTCTCTTACCAGCTGAATTGCAGTGGCTGTTGATTATGATGGTGGTCTGCCAGGTCTAAGACTATTCCCTTGATATTTGATACTGAAGAAATATTTGCCAGATTAGATGGTAATCATTTCTCCTGCTTTGCCCACAGCAGGTTGTATGAACTAGAGCATGCTCATTGGCTGATGAAACACACCCTGTTTCTGAAGTTGTGCTGTATCTTTTGCTGTCTGTGAAGGAGGAGGAATGCTAGATAGCCCTGAGGAAGTTTTTGATGGTATCATTTTGAGGACCTTTAATTGTATGACTGTGGTTACTCCACTTCAGTTTTTTCAGATAATTTTTTGATTACCTTAAGGTCCAGATCAGTGTTTATTTTTACTTAATGTTTCAATAAGTAGTTCATGCAGTCACTAAAAGGAGACTGCACACTCACGAAGCTCAGTGCTGTAGCAGCATCTCCTGCTGCTGCTTTTTAAATAAAGTAAGCTTAGTTGTGAAAGTGGAAGAAATAGGGCTTCATATGTTTACTTTTTTGTTAGCCCACACTTTGGCCATGAGCAATCCCTACCTGACAGGAAGAATAAATAATAAAAGCATAAAATAATAATAAAAATAAACAAAAGCATAAAAATTACTTTGCAAAACCCCTGTTTACTCTCACAAATGATTCAGAAAATAGTTGCTGGTTTAGTGCTAGAGTCTGAGGCTGAATTAGAGGAGAATAATAGAATGACTGTAAATAAATGTATAAACTGGAACTGTGATTAACAGCTAGAATGTGGACCTAGCAAAAGCTTCAGATTTCTAAACAGCTGTGCTGAGCTGTTCTGTGGACTTCAGCTAGTTGCTTAACTTCCTGTTATTTGAAAAGCAGTATAATGTAGGCAAATGCCTGCAGTGTATTCAAGTGTGAAACTTAGCAGAGGTCTCAAGAGTCCTGAAATACACTGTTCCCTGCACTCTATTTTTAACACAAAACTTTCAGTGTTTATCTGGGTACCTCATCCTCTCTGCATGATTTTAGTTAATTCCACTGAGGAGCAAACAAGCTGACTGCCACTTGCTACAGTCCTGCAGCTCATTCTTGAATTTTTCTTTTCCTTCATGTCTACTAAGGTGATCATGAGGTATGGGAATAAGAGTGCTGCAAGAAATTGGATCAAAGTCCAGCTAGCACAGTAGCTGTTTCATAACAGGTACACCTGTAACGCTGACAGTCTGGTACAGAAAACAGAGGTAGGCTTGTGGAATAGTAGGTTGTGGTATGTTCTACCTCTTTATTAGGTCTTCTGCTCACTAGAACTGAGGCATCCTATGGTTTAATGATTTGTCATTAATAGCTTTGGAGATTCCTGGTATCTATATAAATATTTTTTTTTAAAACATTTGCTAGGTTCTTGTTTTCAACCTCCTGTAGCAGAAAGCTGTGAAACTTCATGAGCTCTTGCTTAGCTTTTGTCTTCAAACACTGATTCTAAACTCTTCTGTTGGAGCTTTTCTTCCTCTTCCACTAGTAGCAGCCTCTTGTAAGATATCACAGACAGCAGGGACTGGGTGGTGATTATGTGGCAAACTACAGTTCAAAAATTACAACACTTCATATGGATGGCAGCAAAACTGAGTAGTAGAAGTTTCACACTGTAGTCATTGTTCACCCTAAACTAGGTGTGCCAAAAGGACAGCATACTCTAAGCTGGTAGGGTGTTTATTAAACTGAAAAAGGACCACATTATCCTGCATGGCAGTAGAGAACTGCTGAATGTGTCCAAGCTTAAGGTTTCTTGTGTTGACAATACAGTAGGCTGTGTGGATATATCAGGATGCAGCTTTTTAATCAAACTCCTGTCTCATACAGAAAGTGATTCTATAAAATAAATATTTAAATATGTCAAAGGCTGTGTTTTGTCAGTTTCTTGACACACTCTCTACACCAAAAATGGACCATAAACCCTGTAATCCAAAAAACTACAGCCTCCTGTCAGGTTGTGATGTCAAATTGCCAAAAAGCATGTGAGTCAGATGACTTGGATGTGCAGAGGAACAAGTATCCTTGCAGATGATGACTAACACAGTAAAAGAATTGAAATTAAGAATAAGTTAATTGTTGTTAACTTGTCTCAGCACTTTCCTATTGGGTTTCTGCACTTGATACTACAGGAGCTCTTAAATTAAAGAGTCCTCAGCAACATCTGAATTGGGTGGTATTACAAAGAGACCTGTTGAAAAGGTGCACCACTGTCTGTACTGGTCTGCTGTTACCCAATGCCAGCTCTGTGAATCCAGAGTTGGAACTCCCATGCACACTATCATTGGAAGTAAACTGTGGTGTAGCAGCTTATCTTTGACCTCTTAACTATCTCTAGCTGGTTTTTCTGTTGTACCTTCCAGCAGGCTGCTGTTGTCACACAGGTGCTGCATGAGAAATCCTGTATGCCTAGGTTCTTGGGCAAGTGGAGCCCATGTACTTGCAGCTGATTTTCTAGGCAATGACTATTAGACTAGGACAGCCTCCAAACTTCATCAGCAACTTCAACTGGGCAGAGAAGGCAGGTCTTTTCATCATGTGGTAACAAGCCCGTTTTTCTGTGGTCTCTCGCTATGATACTTCAGTGAGAATCGGAACTAAGAAAATTCACCTCTGTATGCCAGTCTCTATCTGGGTGAGCCCGGAAATGGCTTCTTGCTGCGTCGTCTCGGGGGAACTAGGGGCTGCAGCAAGGCGGGCTCGGGTTCTGCCCTCCTTGCAGGTGCCTCGGCTGAGAGGCGGCGGCCCGTCGCATGGCAGTACGTTGAGCAGTGGCCGGGGCCTGTATCCCACACCGCCAGGCCTCCATTCCCCCACTCAGGGAAACGGAGGTCGTTCGGCGCCAGCGCAGGGCAGATGCCGCTGCCCGGCCCCGGCCCTATCAGGCCGCCCCGCTCCCTGACCCCGCCCGG